CAGTTTTTCCTCTGCTTCTCTTACTTGCTTCTCAAAATCCTTTTTGAGCTCTTCCATGGCCTGAGATCAGTTCATATTTTTCTTGGAGGCTTTGGATGTAGGAGCTTTGACTTTGTTGTCTTCTTCTGGTTGTATGTTTTGATCTTCTTTGTCGCTGAAGAAAGAGTCTATGGTCTGACTTTTTATTGCGAGCTTTGCTCATGATCCCAGCCAATTACTTGAGTTATAAACTTTTTGTTAAGATAGGGGTCTGCTTCCAGTGTGGAGGGTGTACTGCCCCAAGCTTCAAGGGTTTTGTGCAGCTGTTTTCAGAGATACTTCTAGGGACCTGTAAGTTTTCAGTTCTTCCAAGGTGGTATGATAAGGGGTGAGGTGTTTACTCCTTTCCTGGCCTGTGCTCTGGACTATGAGTGACCACAAGCACTCTTCTGCCTTGGAACTGTAAGGAGGATTCCCTGTCCAACACTGCTACAAACTCCACCACACCAGTACTCCACCCAGAACTGTGACATAGATGTAAGCACGGGCAAAGCAAGAGAAACCTGCCTCAGCACCAGCAAAGAGATGCCTGCAATCCCCCTCTGATCAGCCACTCCATTCCACCTCAGTCTGTGGGCCAGAAGCTCTGGAAGCAGTCACTGCCCCAGGGCCGCACCTGGGGACTGGGGTTGGGACCGAGCTTCTCTCTCGCCACCGCAGTCACAGACTTTTCTTACTGACCTTCTGAGTTGTCTTTGGCATTCATATGGGTTGAGAAGTCTGGAAACCGCCACAGCTGCACTCAATTCAGTCCTCTTGAGGCCTGTTCCAGATTTGCTGAGGGCTGTTTTGCTTGCACACCCACGCTTAACTGCATTCCTCTCCCCACCAGCCACAATAGACCATCCAGGTTGTCTTGGACTGGAAATTTGTTTCCCTCCGTCTTTTTGTGGGTTCTGCTGCTTTAGAATTTGTTTAGAGGCATTTTTTTTTTACAGGTATTGGGAGGGATTTGGGGGAGAGCTCAAGCAAGTCACTGCTTTTACTCTGCCATCTTGGCTCTGCCAGTGTATTGGTTTTTAAGTCAATGTGGGACCTCAGGGATGTTTTTTTTTTTTTTTGAGTTTCACACCACTGTCTTAGAGCACAATAGTATTCCATTACATTTATATACCATAACTTATTCCTCCATTATTATTTATGAGCACCCTTTCAGATTTCCATTCTTTGCCTCAAAAAGAGCTATAAAATTTTTTGTACATCCTTAGAGTTTGTTTTGCTTAGGAAAAATCCCTCCTTTAATCTGCCCACCCTCTTAATTCCCCTCTCTCTTTCCCTCCTATTTCTCCATTGAATAAAATGTATTTCTTTACCCAACTCTTCATCCATTTTGTATTCTTCTCCCCTTTGACCAGCTCAGATGAGAGTGAAGTTTAAGTATCAGCCACCCCTGCATACCTCCTCTTCTTTGTGTAGATATCTACTTGTACACCCTGATTATGTGAGAGAAATTTCCCTAACCTTCCTTTCCTCCCTTCCCATTGTATTCCTCTTTCCCCCTAAAGATCATAAAGATATAACAGAACCATTCCCAAACCTTGTTTAATTAGACTCTCTGAGACCCCTGATGATAATAAGATTTAGAAGGGACTCAATCATCTCCTATATTTGAATGTAAACAATTTATCCTTTAATCCTTTAACATTGTTCATTGCTGTTTACCTTTTCATGTTTCTCTTTATTTCTGTGTCAAAGTTTCTACCAGCTCTGGTCTTCTGGAATGTGTGGAGTCCTCTATTCCATGAAAGGTCCATCTTACCTCTATAACATTATACTCAGTTTTGTGTGGTAAATTATTCTTGCCTATAAATCTATTTTCTCTGCCTTTTGGAATATTGTGTTCTCTCTCTGCTTCTTTATAGTAGAGGCTGCTGAGTTTTCTGTGATCCTGACTGTGTGTGGCTCTTTGGTGCTTGATTTAATTTTTTATGGCTACTTGCAGTATTTTTTCTTTGACCTTGAAATTATGGATTTTGACTCTGATGTTCCTAAGAGTTTTAATTTGAGGATTTTTTTAAAGAGATAACCATCGAATATTTTCTGTTTCTACATTGTTTTCTGGCTTTAAGAGATAAGACTTCTTAAAATGTAATGTCTAAACTCTTGTTTTGGTTATGGCCTCCAATGATTCTTAAATATTTTCTCCTCAGTCTGTTTATTTGATCAGTTTTATGTTTTGTTTTGTGTTTTTGTTTTTTACTACATAAAACGTTACATTTTCTTCTTTTTTTCAGTCTTTTGACTTTATTTTTAATATTTCTTGTTTCATGGAGTCATTGGCTTCTATCTGTACCACTCTAGTTTTCAGGGAATTTGTTTCATGGGCAGTTTTGTACCTCTTGTACAAAATCCATGAGCCAAAAGTTTTACTGTCTTAATAGAAACAACCCAGTGTTCCTTGCTCAGAAATCTACTTTCACGAAAGAATAAAACCACTCCTAGGCCTCTTTTTTGTCTTATTTAAATCTCTTTATGATTCTTGAAGACCTTTGTCCTGAGGAGACATTTGTTTTTTCTCTTCTTATTGGAATGTCTACACTTCATTCCCTTCTAGTTGCTTTAATGTGTTTTTCTTTCTGTGATTTCTCTTAACTACTGTTTGCTTTTCTAAGCTTCTATTCCATTCTGGTCTTTTCTTCAGGAATGCTCCATTTTTTCCTCTGTAGAGTTGGTAAGTTATTCTTTATTATTATCTGGGTAAGTTCGTCAGTGTAAGCCTTTTTTCTCCCCCTTTAGATGATCACATTCCAGCATCTGTAGTCCTTACTTGGTAGCTGTCAAATCTTTTGTGATCCTGACCATGCTGTGGTTCCTTGGTATTTGAATTCTTTCTGTATTTTTTCTTTGACCTGAAAACTCTGGATTTTGACTGGGGATTTTGGGGATTTTAATTTTGAGATTTCTTTCAGGAGGTTGTTGGTGGAATTTTTACATTTTCATTTAGCCCTTTGCTCTGATAGATCTAGGGTATTTCATTTATGATATCTTGAAATATAGTTCTGAGGTTCTCTTCATGGTAGTGTGGACTTATTCTTTTTTATTAGGCTTATGTTCTGGATATTCCTAGTTACATAAAATTTCTTGATTGTTGGTGTCTTCTTCTGCATATTTATAATTGCAGCTTTTCATCCTGAATTGTAACTTTTTGATTTTAATTGTGCCTGTATACTTCATTGGAATAGTGGGCCATTTGGTCCTGATAATCATTGTCTGGGGTCTTGTTGCTGGCCCTATCAGCAGAAAGTGATGGCAGGTGCCAGGCTCACCTATATCTTTCTAGAACTGTGCTAAGCTCTTCAGGGCCATTAGGGCAACTCATATCAGCTTGCTATAAACTTGAGAGTTTGCAAGTTCAGGCTGAGGGCCAGAACTTTACTAAAGCCTAACAGCCCTAGGACTTTTTACCTAGTGTCCTCCAGTCTCTTCCTCCCCCCTCTCCTCTGCAGGGTAGTACTTGACCACTTTGGAGCTTCCTGACTGGAGCTCTTGGAGTCTGTCAGAGCTAGGGCTGAGGCTGGAAGGCCTCCCAGCAATGACCTTGCCTTCCAGGCTCTTCTGACTGGACATCTTCTTTAGTTGGCTGAAGTCCTTTTGCTAATACTGAACCGGGTAAAAGTATTTATTATAGTTTATTTCATTTATTTCTTTTATTTCTTAATCTGTATTTGATCTGGTGTTCAGTTTATTTTTTCTGGATTGTATGTGTATACGTTAGGCTATTCTCCACTCATCTTGACAGGAAATCAGGACAATTTAAAATAAAGATATTTCTGAATGGTAAAAGCAAAACATTTGTACCTTTTTAATAAAAAATGAAGACTCACAGGGTGGGAAACCTGTGTCCTCAAAGCCACCTGTGGCCCTCTAGGTCCTCAAGTGTGGCCCTTTGACTGAATCCAAACTTCACAGAACAAATCCCCTTAATAAAATAATTTGTTCTATAAATCTTGGACTCGGTCAAAAGGCTGTACCCAAGGACCTAGAAGGCCAGATGTGGCCTCTAGGCTGCAGGTTCCCACCTCTGCTAGCATCTCTGGGATGTTTGATGTCATAGAATTTTTGTTTTATAATTATAAATTGCCATCTATTTGGGAGGTTGCTGTGGCCAAAACGATTATCTTTTAGTGTCCATTCTTTTGGGAATATGGCTCCTTATATTTTGCTGTGCTGACACAAACTTTGGCAGTAGAGTTTACCACGGTGTCACAATGAGGTATCAAAGGAAATCTTTTATGGAGATTGAAGATAAGTAGCTGTTACATCTATAAGCCTGATTTTCTGATAGTGAAAAGATTATACTATATGTTTAGGAACTATAAAATGAAGCAATGTAGAAGAAGAATTACTACAGGATATAAAGGAATGATACATGTCTTTACATGAGTAATCAGAATTATAGATGAAAAATAATTTACATGGCTCATATTTGGTTTTACATCATGGTGATACAGTTTTTAAAAATGAAATAAATCCAAACTTTTAATATGCTGGAAGATGCCTGACATAAAACACTTTGATCAGAAAGATGTAAGAACTATTTCTGGGGAATTTTCAGCAAGTTTTAAAATGTTCTAAGGAGTTTTTAAATCTCTAAAATGCTAACTTTTTTTTACAGCTTTCATTTTAGAAAAGTGGAATTAAAAAAAATAACCTGTTAACCCCTTATCTGCAGAGTGGAATATGTCAGGTTAGGGCATACATACAGATAACATTTTGAAGACTTTCATGGCTAGAGATGCTTAAAATATGCATTTTTTTTCCTCAATTAGGGTAGAATATCTAACCTCTTAATATTGGTTACAGAAAATACTTAATTTGTAGAGTCAAGCCCCATTGAGGCCTGACTCTAATGCCTAATAGGATATTAATCTTATTTATACATCTCAAAATTTTTAACTCCTTTTTATAGATGGGAAGAAATGTTGAATGTAGAATAATTGACTTTTTTCTCCCCTTCTCAGCAAGTAACAGATGCGGGTGAAAGATCCGTCCAGGGCTGTTTCTGAAAAAACCAGAAGAAACAGAAGGCCTAATACTCCTCTGGATGAAGACTCTTCAGATGACATTGCTGGTAAATTATGATATTTGGGACCAAAAGAAGATTTGAGAGAAGGAAGAAAATATTATTCATGTTTTTATTACTTTTAAAGCTAAAAAATTAAATTGTGATGGATGGTTAATATTTGCACTATTCTCTCCAGCCCCATACTAAAACCAGTAGATTTGTTATACAGAATTCTTTGCAATGAGATTTTAAATATATGTTTTGAATGGGGAAGAAAGGCATTTCATTGTTTTAATCTTTAAATCTTAGCAAATACAATCTAGATATTTTAATAACTTTGGTTGCTGTGGAGATTTTATTTTTTAAAAATTACTCAAAGGTCTGCTTTTAGAAAAATGTTTTTTAATATTCATATCCAGTAAATAATGTGTTTTCTTTTTAGCAGGCTTAACTTGTCAGCATGTAAGTCAAGCTGTTAGTGTCCACCATGTGAAGAGAGCAGTAGCTCAGAATTTGTGGTCAGTTTGTTCAGAATGTTTAAAGGAAAGAAGGCTTTGTGATGGAGGGTCAGTAAAACCTGATATTTGGTTGTGCCTCAAGTGTGGTTTTCAGGTGAGAAAAACAACATATATAGGAAGTTAATAATTTGAATAGATAAACACGTGTCATTTAGGGCATGCCACTACTTTTATAAGACTCAAGCTGTATTTAATGTTTACATAGACAAAAGGCTGTCAGAATAAATTCTTTGAGTCTAGAAAAACATTTGGTAATATGAAATGGAAGATGTGATTTTTAAAAGCTTATCCATGGGTGAGGAAGTATTCTTTTGATTATATTAATACCATCACAGAGAGTCCCTCCCCAGGATTGGATCTGGAGCAGTAGAAGAGTCAGGCTTTATTTGTTTCTTTCTTTTAGAATTGTTTATTCAACTTCATTTACCTTAGAGATGGCATCAGCTTTTTCCAATTCATTCTTTTAAATACTGATCTCTAAAAATGTATCATTTGGCATCTATTTGCTTCCACTATATTTACCTTTGTGATAAGACTTCCTAGTTAAGGAGTTTATAGGAGATGAATTTTGGAACATAAGTTATAAGTCACTGGCCATTTACATTTGGAGATTTTAATTGGGCTGAAGATCAAATGAGATAATATTTGTAAAGCACTTAGCACAGTGCTTGGCACATAGTAGGCACTTAATGCAATAAACGGAGTCTTTAGATAAGAAATAAAGTTTATAAGAAATTTTCTGAAGCAGTTTCCTACTTTATAAAAGAAAAATAATTATTTCACTTAAATTTATGTCTGATAGAAAGTAAAATTGATTTGAAATCAAGGCTCTTAATTTACATAATGAAGTGGAATTCTTTTCATCTTTAGGGATGTAGTCAAAACTCAGAAGACCAGCATTCTTTGAAACACTTCCAGACTTCCCGCTCTGAACCCCATTGTATCATTATCAATCTTAGCACATGGATTATATGGTAAGTAAAGTTTATTGAGTACTTTTATTAGGCCTGAAAGAAAATAATGAGCCTATATTGGTTTATAGAATGAGCCTGCATTGGTATAGAACCATAGGATTTAGAATCACAAGGGACTTTAGAGGTCATCTAGTCCAGTTTCTAGACTGGACTGTCCCATTTTAAAGGTGAGAGAACTGAGGCCTAGAAAGGTTGAGGTCATACTGGAGTAAGTACTTTAGCCAGGAATTGTTATTATGTGTTCTGACTTGAAATCCACTAATTTTACCACTACTCCACACCCACTCAGTAGGTGCCTTTGCTTTGAATACTAAAGTTAGAACACAATAATAATAATAAAAATAATTTTCACTTGTGGTTTACAAAGAACTTTACATCTGTTTTTAATTTTGATCTCCTCAGCAACCCCTGTGAGTCAGATAGATAGAAATGGTCGATCCATAATTAGATCCCATGCTGCCTAACTTTAAATTTAGTGCTCTTTCTCTCATATCACCACTAGGATTGAACATTTGAAAGCATAATCAATTCACCAATTCACTTTGAAAGATTTTAAAATGAATTTTCATTTAAAAAATATATTTCATTTATATCTGCTTTCATCTTCAAATTGCACAGATGAAAAATAATTTTACTACCATCATCTGTGCACAAACTTGAGGTATTTTTATCAGCTTCATTTAAATTTTATATTTTTCAGGTGTTATGAATGTGATGAAGAATTATCAACACATCGTAATAAAAAGGTTTTGGCTCAAATAGTTGATTTTCTACAGAAGCATGTTTCTAAAACAGCAAGTAAGTTATGGATTATCACAGGGACTTGTGATATAGTAACATATTCAGTAATTCATACATATAAATGACACTTTGGACACAATTATATGAATAATAATAATAATAAAAGGTTGAACACAGGCATAACCCACATAATGTAATTGTTATTGTTTCAGTTTCATTCAACAACATTTATTAAGAGTCATTCTCTGGAACTCTACGAGATATTAGTTTCACAAAAAACAACATTAGGGCAATAGTGTTATATAGAAAGTTCCACAGTAGTATTATAAATAGAGATGTATTCCTAAGTGACTAAAATCTAAACTGAAAAGCTCAAGATGAGCACCTAACAGAGACCTGAATCTGGAGTAGAAACACTGGGAAAGAGCCGAGTAGACTAGAGCTGACTAGGGTAGTGTTGTGTTGGGCTAAAGAGGGTAGCTTTTGGCTCATTGGAGTAGCAGGGCTGAATTGTGTGAATTATATTAAAGCTTCTGTCTTGGAAAGTGAATGACTTAACTAATTTGTACCTCAGGTGATTAGCTAAATAATGTGTATTTTTTAAATATCAAGTTCTTTATTCCTGTGAAGACAGTTTTATGAATGTATTTTTTTTTACTGAATATATTTTTATTGATATCTTTTGTTTTTATATCACTTATATTTCCCAGAATATTCCAGCATCCTCCTGTTGATAAATTGTTCTTTATAATGAAGAATAAAAAAGGAGGAGAAAGTTGAACAAAATTAGTCAGTATATTAAAAAAGTATTAAAGTCATATACAGTGGTCCCCTACCACTGCAAAGAAGTAGGAGCATATGCCTCCTCATCTTTGTATTTTGAATCCTTGTAAATGTATTTATATATCTTGAGTATTTCTTGGTAAATTGATTCTTAGGACCCTGATTTTTTTTTTAACACTCCCAAATTTTCTCAGTGACTTCTACTGTTACTTTAAAAAAAAGTTGTACTAATGCCTTATTTTTTTTCCTACACCGCAGTCATTTCCCTATATCCCTTATTCTCCATCCTTATAGAGTTTTCCCTCTTTTAACAGAAACGGTCAAGTTGTCTTTTGCATTTATTGTTTGTAGTTCTCATTACTCCCAGACCGAGAATAGAAAGCTGATCATCTGTCCTCATCATTTGTCATTGCATTTAATCAGAGGATAATCAAATACAATTATTTCTGTTGTGATATATTTCAAGGAATCTTGTATGATTTTAACATAACCAAGTTAACACCATAATAAAATGAAATTAGGTGTGAATTTAAAAGCTACAAAATATTGAAAGTATCAAGTTATATTCCTTACATTGAATTACTCTACAAAAGTGAAAATATATATTGAAAAAAGCTTAGGAATACTTTGTTGGGGGGGAACCTTTAAAGGTAGTGTTTTGCTCTACATAATAAAATGATTTGTTATAGTCATCAGCCAATAGTCACAGGATCTTATATTCTCTTCCTCTGTCAGACAATTTTGTCCATGTAAAACTCATTCTGCTGTAGAGTATAATTTTAAAACTTGCCTATTTTCTTCATACTGACCTTCATAAAAGATGTTCTTGATACAGATTATTCCCATGAAAGTTTTGAAGAGATGGGGAAGTAGGCCAGTAGTCAGTGATATTTTCTCATTCACCTTTGAAAAAAAGTAATAAAGTCCAAGGTTTTCCAAGTGTTGGAATCTTCCCCTTTTTTACTAATTGCTGATCTGTAACCTACTGTAGTCATGCCAAACTCAAAAAGAAATGGATTCCGCAGGCCACATGCTGACTTAGCCACAAATTTACATTATCTTTTTCCCAGTTACATTTTAATGTGATTCAAGCTGCGCTCAGTAGTTTTATACCTTGTCCCTAATGTAATGTTTTGAAGTTTCACTATAACATTCAGCTAATTCAGTTTAAGTCAAGGGTACACAGAAGAGGTCTATGCTGGAGGTGACAGTATTTTGAGAGTACTATAGCTTGATTCTACAGTTGACTGAATGAGGTGGAACTTCAGAATAATGTAGTAGGGTTTGGTTAGTATGTATTAATAATGCCGTAAACATTATGTAGGTGTATGCCTCTGGGCATGGATATTGTCACTGCTATACATTCCTCAAGTGTAGTTTCATCTTATTTTCTTGTATATTTAAGGATAGAGACAGGACCTGTGATTTCATTGATAAAGCATCATAGATTTATAGATTTCGACTTAGAGAGTACCTTATGGGAGAGAACCCCTGAATGAGGAAATTCTCTTTACCACTGCAGGTCAGTACTTCATCAGCAACTTACAGCCTTGGAGTTGCCTAGAGCACTGAAAGAGTAGCTAATAAAAGTTAGCAGTGTTTATGGAAGTTTTAAAGAATATGGAGAACACATGTGATGTAACATTGATCTACTTAATCTAGGTGATGATAGAGCCTATAAAATGATACTATAAAAAAGTGGCCACATTTTCTGTAGCTGGCTAGGACCTGATTTTTAAAAACAGGTTTTTGTTGTTGCCTTTTTTTTCTTTTCTTTTTTTTTTTTTTAAGCAATTGGGGTTAAGTGACTTGCCCAGGGTCACTCAGGTAGTAAGTGTCAAGTGTTTGGTATGAGGCTGTATTTGAACTAAGGTCTTCCTGAGTTCAGGGCCGGCACTTTATCCACTGCGCCACTTAGCTGTCCCTGTTGCCTTTTTTAAAACACTGGTTATTTTTCTTTAGTTCATCTCCCTCTACCTGTTACTAAATCTTTCTTGCAGCAACAGTACTCTTGAGTCCTTTACACCTCTATGGGTGTGCCCTATCAGGCTGTGTGGGTAGCATCACAATTCCTTGGAATTGTGGTTAATTGTTGCTTGGATAAGAGTTCCTAATTCTTTAAAAGTTGTTTGCCTTTTTTACCTTATTGGTATCATTGTGTAAATTGTTCTACTGTTTCTGTTCACTTCACACAAGTTTTCCCATGTTTCTCTGAAACCCTCTCCATTTCATTTCTTTTCTTTCTTTCTTTCTTTTTTCCACTTAATAGTATTTTATTTTTTCCAATTACATGTAAAACAATTTCCAGCATTCACTTTTATAAGATGTTGAGTTCCAATTTTTTCTCCATTCCTCCCACCCCTGTCCCCAAGATAGCAAGCAATCTGATATGTTACACATATGCAATCGTTAATCATATGTCCCCATTAGTCATGTTGTGAAAGAAGAATCAGAACAAGAGGGAAAACCACAAGAAAGAAAAAACAAAAAAAAGTGAAAATAGTATACTCTGATCTGCATCCATAGTTCTTTCTCTGGATGTGGATAGCATTTTCTATCATGAGTCTCTTGGAATTGTCTTGAATCATTGTATTGCTAAGAAGAGTTAAGTCTATCATAGTTGATCATTGCACAATGTTGCTATTACTGTGTTCTCCTAGTTCTGCTCACTTCACTCAGCATTGGTTCATGTAAGCCTTTCCAGGTTTTTCTGAAATTTGCCTGCTCATCACTTCTTATAGCACAATAGGATTCCATGACAAGGTATATACCATACCATTCCCCAATTTATTGACACCCCTTCAGATTTCCATTTTTTTGCCTCTTCAAAAAGACCTATAAATATTTTTGTATATTTTTAGTTAGTTTGTTTTTCATAAGACTAATCCCTCCCTTAAATCTACCCTCCTTCTAATTCTCCTTTCTCCCTTTTCCCCTTTCACTCTTATTTGCCAATGGAATGAAATATATTTATATACATGTGTGTATGCATGCGTGCATGTATTCTTTCCTTTGACTAATTCAAATAAGAGTGAGGTTGACATGTCAGCTACTCTCACTCTTTCCTCATTTGTAGAGATGTTTACTTGCTTGCCTTGATTATGTGAGATAATTTTCCCTAACATTCTTTTCCTTCTTCCCTCCCCCATTCTAGTGTATTCTTCTTCCAGTCTCTTCTGTTGTTCTTTTTAAGATCATTAAGACAGAGTAAAATCCATTCCTAGCCTTGTCTACTTAGACTCCCTTTCTGACTCCTGATGCTATTGATAGGGTTCGGAGGGGACACAAGGGTCATAAATGTCAAGTGTTGCAACTTCAGAGTTCCTTTATCATTGTTCATTTGTGTTTGTTGTTTTATGTTTCTTTTCACTCCATTGGAAACTTCAGAGTTTCTATGCAACTCAGGTCTTTTTCTAAGAAATGCTTAGAAGTGTTTTTTATCATTTAAAAGTCCATCTCTCCGTCCCCCCACATTATACTTAGTTTTTCTGGGTAAGTTATTCTTCCCTCTAAGCCTATATTTTTTGTATTTTGGAATATTATAGTCCAAGTTCTCTGCTCCTTTATAGTTGTGGCTGCTAAATTGTGTGTGATCCCAGAAAGCCATCCAATAGGATAAACAGTATTTTTCAAGAAGAGAAAAAAATCAGCAAAACTGATGAATTCTGCAAAAGAGTCTGAAAATATGTTCAGTATTTGTGGACCCAGCTCTGCAAAGGAGTGGGATAGGGATGCTTCTTATATATCTTATTTAGAGCCATGCTTATTTTTTATAATTTTATAGGATATTTAGTTTTGATTGTTATACAGTTGCTCTTTCTTTTTGCGTTATTGTTTGTTGTCAGTTGTTTTTCAGTCGTGTTTGACTCTTTGTGACCCCATTTGGAGTTTGTCTTGGCAAAATGATGAAGTGGTTTGCCATTTCCTTCTCCAGCTCATTGTACGGATGAGGAAACTGAGGCAAACAGGGTTCAGTGACTTACCCTGAGTCACACAACTAGTCAAGTGTCCGAGTTTAGATTTGAACTCAGGAAGATGAGTCAAGCTGTTCTTTCAGTTTGTAGTCACTGTGTATATGGTGTTTTTTTGTTTCCAGTTACAATACTTTGCATCAGATTATGTACATTTTCCCATGTTTCTTTATATTTGTTGTTTCATAGCACAGTAACATTCCATAATATTCATGTACCACAATTTATTTGGCCAGATTAATGGCAAACACATGATTAATGTGTTCTAATACTTGTTTCTTCAGATCTTCAGCAGTTTTCTGT